TGTATGAGCCAGGAGTAACTCCTGCACAACCCTGGCTGTGACAGAAAAAAAAAAGAAACTTAGAATAGCAACTCTAGCATTCAAAACAAAGACAAATTAGGTGTTTGACATATAGTATAGTATGTGTGAATATGTGTGTGTTCCTTTCATTCTTCCAGTCAAATTTTCTGCATTTGGAAATAAAAGTGCTAAATGATTTCTCATAAATTTTTGTTAGTTTTGCTTTAAATGAAATGGTATTATAAACATTGCTTCCAGATTTGGGATTTCTCTAAAATGGGTTTGAATTTGAATAGGTATCCACTATGGAACCAAGCAAGTTTTACATAAGAGTCTGACAGTGTTTATCAGAGGACAACTTCATACTGAGCCATTGACCAGGAAATACAATTTTAAAAATAGAAAAATAATTAAAGCCATTATAACCATAGGATTGAGGGCACACCCATTAAGCAATTGAGGAAAAAAAAAGTATAAAATTATTTCAAAGGATGTAATGTGACCATTATGATTTTAAAACTGTACTAATTATTACTTGCTTAAAATTCTTGACATAACCTCATTGATAGTAATTGTGTGCTATTATAAAAATTGCCACATAAATTCATAAGATGTCATAATACCTGTCTCCTCACAATGTAAGGTATTTTATTTAATATTTTTATTAATTTAATGATTTTAGTAGTGTCTCTTAAATTTTAATAATTTACTACTACATATTCTTGGCAAAAAAATGACCTTAAATACTATTTTTAAAAGTCAAATTATACATCTTTATTTTTCACTTTTTTACTTTCTTCTTTCACATTATTATATAATGCATTTTTCCTTCTTATATTTATTTATTGAATCACTGTGGGAAAAGTTACAAAGCTTTCAGGTTTAAGTCTTGGTCATACAATGATCAAACACCTTTCCTTTCACCAGTATTCATTTTTCACCACCAAGAACCCCAATATACCGCCCCATGCCTCCCAATGCCTGTAAGGCAGATGATTTCTCCTTAACTTTTCTCTACATTGATTGCATTCATTATTTTGACAAAAGATGCACCATTATTATTTAGAATCCCTCCCTCCCAACAATCAGAATTGCTAAAAAGGCATTGTGAAATACTTTGTTTTCTATAGCTGGTTATGAGAATCGTGTAATGATTCTAGATTTCTGCAAAGAGCCAGACAATTAAAAGATTGGTTTCTATGCATCTGGTGTTATGGCTGTGCCGGACGGCCACTCGTGCGGGGCAACTCGTGACCTTTGGTAGGAGGTGAAGGACGAGCCGGTACTGCCCCTCTTCCCATGAGACTACAGTGGCCCCGTCACCACTGACTCATACCTGGCTTTCCTATAAGCTCTGAGGCAGTGAGCAATACCTTTTCCCTCCAGAGAAGCATAGCACTATAGCTTAATGCATGGTCCATTCACTTTTCTGTCGCAAGATGCTGGGCTCTGGATTAAGTCCTTTTGCACCTGGAGCCATGGCCGTGCCAGAGAACCACTTGTGGGGGGAAATTCATGACCTCGGTAAGGCGTGAAGGACGAGCCGGTACCGCCCTCCTTCCCATGAGACTGCAATTGCCCCGTCACCGCCAGCTCATACCTGGCTTTCTAATAAGGTCTAAGGCAGCAACTACCCTGCTGCCGGGGAGGGAAAAGGTGGAAAGGAGCAACACCCTTTTCCCTCCCTGGGAGGCATAGCACTGTAATTTAACGCATGGTCCATTCACTTTTCTGCTGCAAGCTGCCGGGCTCTGGATTAAGTCCTTTTGCCTCTGGAGCCATGGACGTGCCAGAGAGCACATGCTTGTAGGGAGCAACTCGTGACCTCAGTAGGGCGTGAAGGACGAGCTGGTACTGCCCCCCTTCCCATGAGACTGCAGTTGCCCCATCACTGCCGGCTTATCCTGGCTTTCCTATAAACTCTGAGGCGATGGCCACCTTGTATGCTGTCCAGATGCATTTCTACCAAAAGCCACTGGGTTTCGAGATTTGTTTATGAGTCTTTTGGATCATGGCTGTTAATCAGCTTGATCGGGAGCCATAGACGCTGTTTGTAGGCGGCAACTTGGGGTCTTGTTGGGATGGGAGGAAAGGGCCGGTTCCACACCCATCTGTTGAGGCCCCACGTGTCTCGTCACTGCGGGCACAACACTGACTGTCCAGTGGCCTCTGGAGGATGGCAGTCACTGGGCCATCAGGGGGAACAGGCCAAAGCACGAAACCTATTCCCACCTGGAGTGGCCCAGCACCACTCCAGGTAACCTACTGCAGGAACAGGACCCATTTCTGCCAAAAGCCTTTGGGTTCCGAGATTCGTTTCTGAGTCTCTGGGATCATGGCCATTAAGCAGTTCAATCAGAAACCAGAGAGGCCATGCCTCCAATTATATAGCTGAGCCGGAGGTGGTTTGTGGGTGTGTCTCCCACATACCTAACTTTTGGCCGTTTACTTTCTTGGTAAACTTTGCCCCAAGTTTTTTGGGTCTGACCAAAGGCACAGCAGCAATTTTGGGGTATTTGAAAATCTGATGGTGCCATCAGGCCACTGATGCACTCGCCTCACAGGTACGGATTGACCTGCTGGCAGCACCATACCCCCTATATAATGCATTTTAAGCAGACTTTCTTCATAGCAGTTGCTTACATATATTCTATTTTATTAACCTGCATTATTTCTTCAGATGTTTTTCACTTCCATAATTATTCTATTATTATCCACATACTTATTGTGTATCTACTCATACCTTTAAAAGAATAAGCAATCAAGATATAGGCTTAACTCTTCTCTACTTTCTTATTATCTAAATATTGTCAGATGTTCAATAGGTGTTTTCTCTATAAGTAAATTAATTATACATGGCAAATACTAAAGATATCATGGCCTTCAAAGGTTATTGTTTTATGCTGAGAAAAATATTTTTGGACTGAGGCATAGAACACTACTGTGAAGAATAAGTAATCATAAACTTGTTGCTTTCTTGTATAACCTGGAAGACATGTTAATAGTTGAAATAATGAGTGTGAAAGATAAATTTAGCTTTAGTTCAGAGTGGAAAGAATACTAAAGCAAAAACATGAATAAATATGTTAATTGAGGTATGTAGAAGCAAGTATTTAAAAGATTTGTTAGAGAAATTGTATTTTACACAGTAAGTTTTAGAGAAAGAAAATAGAAATATTTGAGATAAGGTCTTGCATAATTTTGAACAGCAAGGACACCATATGTTATCTTAAAAAGCTGAATAATCTGTGACAACTTTTGACCAGATAATAATGACCTCATTATTGTCCTTTGTACTGTAAAGTTATATATTGTCTGATTTTTTGGTAGGGAATGTCTGTTAATATTTCAAAGAATTATAATGAAGTCATTGAAAACTAGCTAGAAGGCAACTGTTAGAAAAAGATGAAAGATAATGAAAATGTGAACTATAAGAGATGAAACAGGAAAAATATGAGAGCATGTGAAAAAATATTTTTGAGGAAAGATCAAATATAATTGGCAGCAAAGTTTTTCAAACCACGAACCAATGACGTTTTGTTCTTTGGTAAAGAGAAAATGCAGATACGATGAGGAGAAATAAGAAATACAGAAAACTAAAGTTAAAAATTGAAGACATACAAAATTTTGTATAAGTCATAGATTATGTGAAATATTCTAGAGGCAAGACTGATGAAGGATTATAAAACAAGAATGTGGATCAAAGAATTTTTTTATTCATAGATAAGTAAAACTTAGAGTCAGACCTGCTAGATCTTAATATATAGGATTAGAAATGAAAAGGAATTTATTAACAAATAACTTGGAGAGCCCAGCAAGCTACTGAGACTATCTTGCCTGCATGGCAAAGCCTGACAAGCTCCCTGTGACATATTTGATACACCAAAAACAGTAACAATAAGTCTCACAATTTGTTGCAAGATGTTACTGGTGCCCTCTCAAGAAAATCGATGAACAATGGGAAGACAGTGCTACAGTGCTATCATAGAAATATAAAAATATAATGATTCACCAATCAAACATTAGTTTGGAGACTTATGGCACTAATTTTGTTTGGGGAACACATCCAGCATTGTTCAGGAGTTATTCCCAGCTCTACACTCAAGGCTCACTACTGGCAGTGCTCAGGGGATCATATGGGATGCCAGGAACTAGAAAGGTTCAGTCACATGCAAGGCAAGCACCCTACATGCTGCACAATCTATCCTGTCCTGACACTGTTTTTTCATAAGAATAGTAAATTGGTTTATTTTTAGAAATATAGAACCACCCCAAACTAATCATGAATAAATAGAAATCTAACAAACCAATTATGACCATATATATATTCAAACAGTATTGAAAAGTCGGGTCCCAAATCAAAACCTAGGTGCAGTTTTATAAGTGGGTTCCACCAAACTTTCAGAGTCTAATTGCTCTCTCTCTCTCTCTCTCTCTCTCTCTCTCTCTCTCTCTCTCTCTCTCTCTCTCTCTCTCTCTCTCGTATATCTGGTCTAACGTCCACAAAATACTGGTATTCTACTATGGTCTAAGCAGCCATATTTTAGGTGAGATATTTAACTTTTGAGCTACAAATATTTTCATAACTATTCTCCTCTGGTCTTCTCTGGCACTATCAGAGAAATTGAAGAAATAGGAATTATTCCAATGAGGTACACTGAGGTGAACATTACCCTATAAAGAGGACATCTGAAAAATTAGAAGACATCATGTACACACACGGACAAAAACTAGACCAATATTCCTGCTGAACAAATACTGAAATACTCAATATGGTTTGATAAATTAAATTCAGTAACGACAAAAGGAATGTAACCTCATAATGGCACATGAGATTCATCACAGACCTTTTAGTTATACATTGCCATTAAGCTTTGGTGATTTTACTACACTATTTTAACCTTCACTCTTTTTGAGGTAAAAGATTTGTAGTTGCTGTCGTTGGTAATAAAAATGATTTTACTTTGGAAGTGAGGTAAACTCTGATCCTCTTCCTTATTCACTTTGTTTCCAGGCAGAATCCAAAGAAGAGTTTTGCAACCTCCTTTCTAGGTTTTTATGGACTCTTACTTTACCCTTCTGCATTGTCAATATAAAGCAACTGCATCAACTTTAGAAAGGTACAAGGAAAGGCAACGGGGGAGGGTAAGATTCTCTTGAGTAGGTCTGTTGGTCACACTCGAGAAATAACCTCCAAAACTGTTCTAATATCTCCACAAAATAAATACCTACAATGTGAGATGCACAAGGTCTTTTGGATTATTTTAATATGAATAAAATATTAACTAAATTAATTGTAAATGTTTTAATTGTAAAGTAAAAGTATCCAAGTATGGAAGATGTACATATATATATTATGTATTTATTTAAAGTAGTAACTGCAATTGAACCAAGCTTCTTGGGTTATCTCTCTGTGGTCACAATTACACCCTGCTGAATGAAATATCAATTCACTGAACCATATTAGGGCACTGAGCATAAGGATAGAGACTCGTGTATAAATGAGGTTAATAACTAGTGAGAAAGCAGAGCTTTGTTCCTAGATCTTTCGCATTTTCTGTTTCTAACACAGTGCAGCTCTTTAGAAATATTGTCTGTCTGTGGAGAGTTAATGACTCTCGTCATAAAGCTAATACACTGTGCTTCAGTAGTCTTGGAACTCATTTGTGAAGTCTCACTAATCTGACATTCCTCTGCTATTTTGGTTTTGCTCCAGAAAGGTTTTCTTATTTCCTCTACCCTTCAAGCTGAGAGTCAAGCTTTTCTGGTGTTCTTGTGTCAGTTCTAATCACTTTTATTTTGGGAGACAGTTCTGTAATTGCAATTTTTCAATACACAATAATGCAATTTATGGAAGAAGTAAGGAGCATTTGGAAAATGTCACGGCCCTTCTTTAATACCTCTCTGCATTTCAGGGCACATTTATCCTATCCTATGTTGTTCTTGCTTACTCTTCACATTCTATCTCTCTTTCTCAAGCTATTCTGAGGACACTGAGTCTTATAGTGGAGTATCACAACATATGTATACATAAGACAGACAATGTGTGTGACGACCTAAGGCAAACAGATTCATCCACTTGATTAGTTTCTAGACCGTTATGTCCCTTGTAATGGCTTTTGATTATTTCTTTTACTTATACACATTCTTCAATTTTTCCTCTCCTTTCTGGGGATCTGCAACCATTAAGAAATGCAACTATATACTAAATTCTCAAGGGAAATCAAACCACAACGTAAGAGAAACAAAATATTTTATTTGTCAGTGATTTTGTTCCCTTACTTTTTTAATATAACTTTTTTCCCTAGTGTTTGTTTTCTTAAAATGTTTGTAGTAATACCCTTGTGATTGCGCAGACTGTGTTCTATTTTATATACTATAGGAAGAGCCCATTAACTTTGAGACAATATAGTACTATTACCTTTTCTTTACAAAAGAAAAACTAAGTAATTAATTTCAAAAAACGTCAATCATTTTTGGATGTAAATGAATTAATTTGCTCAGTTCACACCGCCAGCAAGTGACAAACCTGGGTTGTGTAACAAGACACTCAGTCTCGCTCTAGAGGTCAGTTTCCCAAGTATTACATGAAATATCGTTCAACTTATTCATGTTGAATTTAGCAAAAAGTAAGAGTATCAGCACATGGCCAGCTATATCTTATTTGAAGTCATCTCCCCTAAAATGATTGATAGTGGCAGTCATAATGTAATTTTTAAGAATCGGTTTCTTGAATAAAATGATAATCTTCCTCTACTGTGGTTTGATAAAAATTATGTGCATGTATATGTCCAATTATGTCTAATTTCCAATAAAAACATTTTACAAGAAGTCGGTGATTGAATAACTTTTTGATAAGTCCTTACCCACTCATCAAAAAAAGTTATATTATACTATTCCTTGCCCCTACATCATGTATTGTTCTGATCTTTTTCTTTCAATACCAGTGATTAAACCAGAGCTTAACATATACAAAGCAGTGCCATACCACTGAGCTACATTCCCAGCCCATTGTTTACCCTACTCTTGAATTATATGAAATTGAATATTCCACCATTCAAACTAGGTTTTTAGCTACATTTCATGTCTCAGATGACTTTTACATCCCCACCAACAATATACAGAAGTTCTAACATTACGCAAGGGTCCTTTAAAAACGTACATATTAATTAATCATTTTCCAAATAATTATTTGGGTGGTTTATTATTTTGCTATTTAGATTATGAGTCTTCTCTCTAAATATGTGTGTATATTAATATTAATCCTTAACAGATATATTATTTTGAAATAAATTCTCTAGTTGTAATGCTTATCCATTTGTGTTGTTTCCTGTTCCTAACGCTGTGCTTTTAGTTTAATGGAATCCTACTTAGCTATTTTTACATTTGTTGTTCATATTTTTATGTCATAACTAAGAATAATTGCAAAGACTGATATGATATTTTCCCTCAAGTTTTTCTAGAATTTTTGTTGTTTCAAGTGTTATGTTTCAGTATTTTATTTGAGCAGATTTTTTGCAAAGTATAAACATACAACTGCATTCTCTTGCATGTGTAGATCTAATTTTCAGAACATCATTGATTGGAGAGACTATACTTTCGCCCATCTTGTATTGTAAAAGATGACTTGATCATATATGCTGAGGATAAATTTCTGTACTCTTTATTGTATTCCATTTGTTTGCAAATTTATTTTCATACCAATTTCATAATGTTTTAATGAATGTAGTCTTCATAGCTTGATAGCAGAAAATGTGATATTTGTAGCTTTTTTATTTTTTCTCATGATTTCTTTGATTATTTCAAGTCTGTTGTGGTTCTATTCTAGTATATGCTTATCTTTTTTGTAAGAAGTGCCCAAGAGAATGTAATAATAATTTTATTTTAATAGTATCATCTCCCAAACCATCAGCATGCACTATTTCTATTTTCTATGTCTTCTTAATATTTCTCACAGGTATTTAGCAGTTCTAAGTTTACCTGTATTTTAGTTTGAACACCACTCATCTCTTTAATTAAATTTATACTTGTCATAGTATTTCTGCTGACTTTATAAATTGTATTTTCTTATTAATTTACTTTTTAGATAGTTTAATATTACTTAGCTGATATAAATTTTTGTATGCTGTTATCATGTACTTAAAAGTTTACTTAATTCATGCATTAGGATTGTGTGTGTGTTCGTGTGCTTGTGTGTGTGTGTGTGTGCTTGTAGGGTTTTGTTGGGTGAGGTTGTAAACAATAATTCTATCTGCAAAGATACATTTACTTTCCCTTTCTGTTGTGAATCCTTTATATTTATTTCATTTGATTCATTATTTTGATTACAATATCCATTAATAGGTTGAATAGAAACAGTGAAAATTCATTTCCTTGTATTACTTCTGATTGCAAAGGAAAATCTCTCTCTTTAGAAAAATATTAGCTGGGACTTTTTATTTATGGTGTTTATTATATCATGATATATTTCTGCTGTAGTGAGTTTATTGAGATTTTTACCACAAAATGCTGTTAGATTTTTAAAATAACTTTCCTCTTCCTCCTTCAGAAAAAATAAATAAAACAATCATTTTTTCCAGTAAATTCCACTCCTGTCCTATAAACAAAAGAATTGAATTTGAAATGCAAATTATATGTTTACTCCTGAAGCTATAGAATTATACCTAAGATCTAAGATATGAAGACAGCTATATGTGCATAAATGTCTGATATGTAAACAAACAATATATATAAATATATATGTATATAACATACTATTATTTAATCTTAAAAGTGGATTAAATTGTGCTATGTGGTATGATACAGAGATTGCTGAAGGCATTTGATAATCATATGAAGCCTGTCAGGGACGGCACATACAACATGACAGCACTTATGAGTATTTAAAGTAGTCAAACTAATAGAAAAAGAAAATAGAATTTTCATTACCAGACCAGGCCAAGAATCTTAGAAGTAAGGATGCTATCTATCTGTACAAAGTTTAATTTATGATGGATAAATATTTATTCAATATGCTATTTTTATTTTAAGTGAAACTGAAATTTTGATTGCATAACTAATGAAAAACATTTTAAAATACTGTACATTTTTCTAAAATATTGGAAGAGTTTTCTTATAACTCTTATCATAAGGTATCATGACAATCATATCTTATTTGGAGATAAGTGAAGATTTATCATTTGAGTGGGTAAACTCCAAAGGAAGGATGTCAGATTGAAAAACAGAAAACAGATTTCTTGATGTGTGTAACACACACACACACACACACCCACACACACACACACACACACAGAACTACAGTGTATATGGTACTAAAAGAGGAAGAAGAAATCACACTCCTTTCAATAGAAGGTCAGAAATTCCATCCTCAGGAAGATAATTGAGTGTGAAGCTGACAGGGGCTTGGACAAAGGAACAGAGGTGAAATGTCATGAAGCTTCCTTTGAGCTTCAAGAAAATTCCCATAACTGAAGTAAAAAGGGCATGCCTCACATGACAAACCTAAAGGTGAGAGTAGAATGTGAGAAGGTTCTGTATAGAGTAGATACGATGTTACTGCTGAATTCTATCAAGTTGAACATAATGGCAAATCAATTAGAAGGCTCCTCTCCACAAAACACTGAAGAAAACATTGACTATAGTTTCATGATTCCTCCCTAAAGCATAGAAATAATAAACAAAATAAATATAAATATTTAACATTATCCCAAGAAAGTGGTGTTTATACCAGTCAAGAACATTTAAAAGATATGCTTTCCTACCTATTTTTTCTCATTAATGCTGGAAAAAGATAAGATAAAAGCAGTAAGAGTAGCCTAATGAACACGAACATTTTACTACTTGTTTTCATTGATGGGATGTTGGGTGCTGAGCCAAACTTTTGGTGAGTAACAAATGTGTAGAAGAAATATCTTAAATAAGGAAAGCAAATTAGAAAGACGTTTTGTCTGAATCAATGTTCAAACATTTTTGGAGTATCATCTTTTAATTTTTCATATTTTTGGTGACTAAAACTGCAAAATTTGGGGCAGAGAGATTGTACAGCAGGTAGGGAACATGCCTTGCACAAGGTGGAGCCAAGTTTGATTTCCAGAACCTCATATGGTCTCTGAGTCCAGGTAGGA